ATTATATATCTTTTTAATCTTGAGCCTACTGGAAAATAAAAGTTGATAGAAAACTTTGAACTCACATTTGAAATAAAAGATTTGGGACATAATTTTTGAAATGTAGTTTAAACATCTTAAGGGACAGAAAATCTTCAGTCAGCCTCCATCTTCAAGTGCTTCTTAATACACATGTCTACATTTTACTTTCTAACTTGGTTATAAATAGAATAAAGTTGATTGGAGTACTTCTTCCTATCAATATTTCTAAACCGAAGTGGTATCAAAGTTTCTCTTGGAAGGACAAGGTGGTATGCAGAGAATCACGAGAAAAGGAGAGGGAAGAGGGCACGTACCATGCCATTCATAACAGAACTTTGAATGCATTATCTCATTTAACAGTTAATAATAACCTCCTGAAAGAAGTATTTTTATCTCTATTCTAGAAAAGATAAGAAGACCTAGAGGGGTTTCAAATAATATACCCATAGTTTCACAGTTTATAAAATCTCTACGTCCTGATTGAAACTTAAGTCAGCCTGACTTTCCACTATACCAAGAACAGTAGCTCAAATGATAAGTTGTCAGTAATTTTTATTGTATTTTATTGATACAGAAAATTAGATATTTGTCACTATTAGAAAACTAGAAGTGTACTAAGAAAAAAAAGTTGAATAGCATACGTGCTGCTGAAGTGAGTGCTAAAAAAGGTTTAATAATTTGCTATCTGAATGACCCACTGAAATTCTAAATAATAAGTCAAATTTCACAGTAAAAATAATCATTTCTCTTTTTTTTTCTAGGTTCCGTAGTTACAAGATATTCAGAAACTGCTTAGTTCATTTTCAAATGAAAAAATCTTACCTTTTTTCACCCTGGTGCACCAGCCCTGTTTATTCCTAATGGGCTCATCTTTTTGGAAATCATATTTTATCAAGTCAAAAGAGAAAAAAAGCTGCAAAAAGAAATTCAAGCAGACATAAAATGAGTGTTCAGTTATTCATTTGTGCACTGTTTGCTGGTAATAGATTTAGAGCTGTCAATGAAAAGAATTAATGAGAATGTGCATTTAATACAGCCTGCAACTTTTGTTGAGGAAAAATTAAACATATATAATAAAACTAAATATATATAATAAAAATTGAAGGTACAAGTAAACAGTGCAGAATTAGGATGGGAAATATCCTTCCATGCAATTAACTGTCGCTGAAAACTCGCTGGAGGGTCAGATATCAACTCGACAGCACACAATAGTAAACAGCACTCGTATGCTCACATTTATATGATGTTGCACATTAGCAAAATATTAATAATACTAGTGCTGAGTGAATGATATCAAAGCTTAGAAGGAATTTATATATTCAAATGCATACTTCCTGGTAACTTAGTGATGAAAACAGTTGCTAACCAAAGGTCAGTGGTATGAACCCACCATCCACTCTGCAGTAGAAAGCAATGGTAATCTACTTCCATAAGGATTGATAACCTTGGGAAGCTTACAGGGTTGCTATGAGTGTGAATTAGCCCCACGACAATGGGTATTAAGTAGCTTTGTTATTGACATACAGCAATAGCACGTTATTATCAGGTGCCGTTGAGTTGACTACAACCTCATGAACAATAGATTTGAATCTTGCCTTATCCTATGCAATATCACTGTATAAATTTATCTTGTTATAAGTCTTCTACTCTTTCTCTGACTTTCATTCACTTTTCCCAGCATGAAAGGGTTTTTTCTGAAGATTGGTTTGGTCCTAACAGCATAACACAAGTATAAGAGATGAAGTTTCACCATCCTTGCCTCTAAGAAGCACTCCAGTAGCATTTCCCCAGACAGACTTGTTTGTTTAGTAATCACATTAAAGTGATATATAAGTGGCCTAGCTAATAGACTACGTTCATGCTGCTTCATTTTAACAGAATTCAAAATAGCCCCTGAAATGAATAGTGTTAATAGAATTAAATTGTAAGCTGTGTGAACACAAAGATTTGTTGTTTGTTCTTTCCTCTTAGTTTCTAGAAAAGCAAAAATAACCAGATATCTACAAAAGCATGTGTTATTTATTGTATTTTGGAGGAACATTCTTCTAACTGGTACAACACTCTTCTGTCAATTTTCTGTACTGGGGTAATCTGGGTTTGCTGTAATGCTGAACCATGTGCCATTGGGGTATTAAATGCCATAACTGTTACCCATGGTGGACAGTGTTTGGTGGAGCTTCCAGTTTAAATTTAAGACAGGTGGAAACAGGAGTGGCATCCAGTTCCTAAACAACATGCCTCTAGAAACTCTATGAACTATGAACTCTGAGAAATGATGATAGTTATAGAAAGGCGTCAGGTCTTTTGTTCAGAGTAGCAATAAGTCGTGCTTGACACTATGACAATCAACAACAACATCTTCATAACTATTCTGACTTTTTCCTTTGGTTTTTTTTTTTTTGTCTTAATGTGTCTAAAGTAACACTCAGTATTTCTGTGTATTGTTGGAGTCAAATGGTAAATTTATTAGAATATTTTCATCATATTGTGAATCAAGTCCTCTCCCCTTTCCTCCCTCAACATTCCCACCTCTCCTGTCCCTTATAATGGCTTTCAGATCATGGTGTTATTGTGGTTGATTTAGATCTGACTCATAGCTGACCCTCTAGTAAATTGCACAGGAGGACAGTACCCATCCTTCTCCCATTGGTGGATTCAAACCATGTGCCTTTAGAATTGCAGCACAACCCTTGTTTGAAAACTAGATTACCAGAGTTCCCACTAAACTCTGATGCTGGGAGAGAAATGAAAATTGGTTCAGAAAAAACCTCTCATTCTCGAAATAAGAAAACTGAGGTTTTATAGATCAATTACATATGCAAGCACACCAACTTTAATTTAAAAAACAGACTACCATCAAGCCAATTTCAAATCATGTGGTTTCTGAGGTTATAAATCTTATAAAAGGAGGAGACAGTTCATCTTTCTCCTGAAGAGCAAGTAATGGATTCTAACCACTGGAGCCACATGGATTTCTGTCAGCAGCACAACATGCTACGGACTGATATGCAAGCAATAAAATGATATGAGAAAAATATTTTATAATTATAAAAAGAATCAAATGAAAGGTCAGAATAAAGAAAGAAAACAAAAGAGAGAAAAAGAGTGGTAATGGACATAAAGATTGCTGAGTTCAATTTTAGTATGCTCAGAATGTGAGTAGAATCACTATTCACTATTGCAATTAAAATATGCACAAGAGCTGCTAATATCGAGTGAGTACTTATTGTTGCCAAAGAATGTACTAGCAGAAAATAACAAAATCTAATTTAATCATCAAAATACCCTATGTGGTAGGAATTACTATTATCCCATATCAAGATGAGAGAAATAAAAGTGACAGTAAAACAAAATATACTGGTACCCTATACATGAAGATGCTTTATTAATATGCATCTTCCCGCTCATTGCCCTTTGTCTGTATTTAGGATTGCAGGATGTTGGCCACTTGCCCGACAGCTAGTAGAAAGGCATTCCAGAAACTCCGGAATTGCATTTATCAACTTGGCCAAACAAGAACAGAGCCCTGTTCATTACCCATTTTCTTCTCTCTTGTTTTAACATGCTTTATTTTTTGGAAAATTTGCCCAGCAACAGGTCCTATCAAATCTAATACTACATCCCTTCCCCCAAACCCCGATTAATTTGAAACCATGTGTGTGGGTGAGATTCCACAAGGATCCATTCATCATGTCTGTTACCACATATAAGTAGACTTGATGCTTACAGTAGAATGAATATGTGCCTGTATATTTTATTATGCTTGTGGGATTCAAATTCTCTAGTAGTGTCTAATTGCAGTTTCTTTTATTTTTTAAGTCCTTTAGTGTGGTGTTTGTTCATCTCTGTAATGTTTGCTTTTTATATGAATCTGTTTATTTTCTGTTCCTTTTGCTAGCTCATATCAATGAGTTGGAATTGACTCGATGGTAGTTGCTTTTAGGGAGAGAAATCTGCCTGAGGTAGGACTTGAATCTTCCTCTAACTTGGGCTTTGATTTTGAAAAAAAAAAAAAAGTAGCAGCTTTTTTTTTTTTTTTTAGCTGACATTAATAGTTTGCCTAAACAATTCCTGGGAATTTAGAAGTCCTTGCTGTTTAAATGTTTATTAATATGTTTTCACTTGTCTTTTTATTTCAATTTCATTCCACATTTTACTCAGATTGCATTTACCTTAGCAGTTTCAATTTTGGTCCTTCGTTTTGTGGGTTGAAACTAAAAATGATGTTTTAAAGTTCTAACTCTCTGTGTCTGTAAATGTGACCTTACTTAGGAATAGGGCCTTTGTAGATGTAATCACCTTAGGATGAAGTCATACTGGCTGAAGGTAGGCCTTAATGTAATGTGGCAGATGTCCTTATAAGAAAAGGAGAGGAGACACAGACAAATACACCAAGAATGCTATGTCAAGATAGGCAGAAACTGGAGTGTTGCATAAAGAAGGCAAAGAACAGCAAAAGGTAAGAAAGAAGTAGAGAACAAATTCCCCTCTAGGGACCAATCCTGCTGGCATCTTGATAATAGACTTCTACTGTGAAACTAGGCTTACACTTGTTTGGCCAGCAACATTCACTAAGATCCCTCTACTTTCTCTAACCTGAGAACAGCGGTCTACAAGAGACTGAACTGTATCTGCTTCTGTTTCCAACAAACATAACGTTCAATTCGTACACACATAACAAAGAAAAAAAAACACACCAGGAAAATGTGATAAATCCTTTAGGGGGAAAAATGTTAATGTAAAGTAATAGGGAAAAAGTAACCTGAATTTTGATTAAAACACAGCTGGAACAATCTATAGCAGTGGCAGAAGAAGAGATTTAACTGAATTAATTTTCTGTTGTTGTTTATTCGCTATTCATACGGTGATGGGTGATAGAAGCTGCACATTTTTGTTCGAAGGGATGGAGAAGCTGCAGGAGGAAGAAATATGATGTGAACCAAGATCTCTGTACAATCCCAACATCCACGCAGGATATATTTTTGAAAGATGTGCCATGTTCAATCTAAGGGTGACAAAACCTGACAAGCAGGAAGCAGAGTAGCATATTTGTCTCTAAGAGAAATTTCCTTTTCTTTTGTTAAATAATTTTTAATTTTAATTGTGATTTTAACAAAAGTTTACAGAAAAGTTATAGATTTTCTTTCCCCTCTTTTTAACTGTCTGATTTATTTACAAAGTTGGAATACATTTTTCACAAAATATCCTTCCCATTTCCTTCACCCCACCCACCCATCGAATTGTCCAACCCTATGAATAACACCCTCCCCCTATCCTCACCCCTCTATTTTCACCCTCCCCCCTGACTTGAATCCTCATACTCATTCTACAATAATGTTTTTTATACAGTATTTGTCCTTGTAGGACTGATATAGTTAACTTAGCATAATGCTCTCCAGTCTCTCCCAAGTTAGGTAACAATTTACAAAATCATTGCTCCTGCATGCTGTATAGTATTCCATTGTATGAATGTACCACAATTTCTCAATCCATTTGTTTGTGGTTGGCCATAGGGGCCATTTCCATGCTCTTGTAATGGTGAATAATGCTGTTATGAACATTGGTGTATAAGTTTCCATTTGAGCCTCTGTTTTCATTTTCTCAGGGTACATTCCAAGCAATGGAATATCTGGGTCATATGCAATTTCTATGTTCAGTTTTTTGAGGAAGCATCAAACTGCCATCCAGAGTAGTTGTATTTTCATCTATTCAATGTGACACATCTCTCTCTCCATTCCCCTTCTAGATGCTAACTTTTAAAAAAATTATATTATTAGTTTATTTACAAAATTCAAATATATTGTTTTCGAGAACAGATTATTCCAATTTCCTTCACCCCCTCCCATCAAATTGTACAACACCATGATTAACACCACCCCCCCACCACCACCCTCTTGCTGAAAATACTGGTTTCCCTCTTGAAGCTTGCTAGAGATTACAATGGGTTTGACTTAATTCAAAGCTTCTTTTATCCACGTAAGAATTTCATGAAGCCTCCTCATCAAGTATACTCACATCGGAATTTCCAGGAAGATATAGAGTTTCATAATGCACTTTTCCCAAATAGAGATACTGTATGGGATATATGAATTCCTACTGCTCGTACTTGTACAATCAATCCGCCAGATTGAACTCTGGAAATTGTGATGTGTAAGTCTGACCCAATAGTTATGTACAAGTTCTACACGAAAGACCATGTTACTGCACAGGATGTTATTCGTGAGAGTGGAATTCGTGACCTGATAGCAGCTTCTGTCATAGATACCACAGTATTCAATCATTCTTCGTGGGTATTCAATGAATAGCGTAAAATCAGATGGAACTTAATTGGACTATTCATATCACTCCAGAACCAGAATTTTCATGTTAGCTTTGAAACAAGCTTAAGTCAGACCTTTTATGATGACCTGATTAGGAAAGTTGCAAGTCTTCAAGCCAAGAAAATTTGTAACCACCCTGTTAGTTAATCAGAGTCTATAAATGTCACCAGAGCTTTCTTCGCCCCAGAAGACTGAAGGTTTTTAATGCCTTGCTTGTCAGAGTGTTTTATTCAATGATTACAACATTGTTTTTACTAGTTTTGCTAAGAAGCAGCAACAGTAGAGTTGATCAAGAAAAATAAAAAAAAAATCCAAAGCAAATCGCATAAAGAGAAGACAAATAGAATAAGGTGGTGGCTCCTATCTAGATATTGACCCTGGGGATGATGCTTTCCATACTCACCCTGCAGTAGTTATGGAAAAGCCCTAGATGTATCATTGTATAATCTTTTGAAATGTAATCCAGGCCATGGTTTTCACAATTACTTATTAAGCTTCAGAGAGCTGGACAATGACTAAGGATGACAGAAGAAGAATCGATGCCTTCGAACTATGGTTTTGGAGAAGAGTTTGAACATACCATGGACTGCCAAGAAATCAAAAGGGTCTGTCTTGGAGAGGGTGAAACCAAGTTTCTCCTTGGAGGCTAGGATTTTGAAGCTCCATTTCACATACTTAGAGCATGTGGCCAGGAGACACCCATCTTTGCAGAAGGACATCATGCTCAGAAGGGTGGAGGGACAGCAAAGGAGAGGAAGACCCTGGATGAGATGGATTGATACAGTAACTGGGAAATGGAGGTTGGTGAGTCGGAATTAGTGAGACTGGCTCAGATCAGGGAAGGGTTCAGAGCTGCTGTACATAGGGTGACTATGGGTCACAGTTGACTTGACAGTACGTAACAACAACAATGACATATTATATTGGTTAAGCCTCTTGTTTAGAGTCAACAAGACATCCTCAAGTGCTTTTGTATTTAAAAGTCAACTGTTATATTTTGGAGGAACATTCCTCTAAGTGGCACAGCACTCTTCTGTCAATTTCCTGTACTGAGGTAACTTGGGGTTGCTGTGATGCTGAACCTTGTGCCACTGGGGTATCAAATGCCTTAACGGTTATCCATGGGGGACAGTGTTTGGTGGAGCTCCCAGTTTAAGACAGGTTTCGAGGCAGGAGTGGCATCCTAAACAACATGCTTCCAGAAACTCTGGGAACTTTGAGAAATGATGATAGTTATAGAAAGGCTTCAGTTTTTTTTTTGTTGTTGTTCATAGGGTCACTATGAGTCATGAACAACTTGACAGCAATCAACAACAACAACATGCATTATTATACCAAGAAAGCTCTAGATGTATCATACTATAATCCATTTGAAGAGTATGCATTATTATACTGAGTAGTTAGATATCTTGCATGAATCCTCTCTTCTGTGTTTAGGTATTCTGTGTTACTCTTACTGTGAAATGTAGGGAAAAACCTCTTACTGTATGCAACTTTACAACAGTTGTGGAAACAATTCAACTTAGTTTATGTACAGGATATCTCTTCAGGTATCACCCAAAATCCTCCACAGACAAGGCTTTTGTCCTCATTAAGTATGGGCCTCTGTCAAACCATGTAGGACTGTTCTATTAAATTGCTGCCAGAATTTTATATCCAGTTACTTCCAGTTTCTATATTCTTACAAATTGAAATAAATTTCTACTTCATAAACATTTTTTGCAACAATTAAAATATTTTTTCCATAGAGGGGGAAAATACCCCTAAAACCCAAACAAAACTGTGAAAATAAATTTCTGTTGTTTTAGTTAGTCTTGAGTAAATTGTTATGGCATATCTAGAAAGTAAATCTTACTCAATCATTTACTGCTATCGAGTCAGAACAGTTATTGTAGTCTGACAGGAAGCTTAAAAAAATTACCAAAAGTGGCCTAGTGGGTAAGGAGTTGTGTTGCCAACTCAAAGTCAAGCAGTTAGAATCCTCCAGCTGGTCTGCTGGAAAAAGACAGATAATCCCCTGCTGTGTGATTTATGATCTCTGAAATCTGCTAGAGGGTCAACTATGAGTCGACTCAATGGTATAGAGTAAAATCAAAGCAAAGATAAAAATAAAAAGATAAATCTTTCTTATGGTACTCTTGCTAGATGATTGCTTTGGATGATTACTTGCTGGATAATTAAGCTTCACTGAGAAGGCTTAATATAAATGCCAAATTTGCAATGCAAATACTGCAACCGTGAAATGACTTGAGAAAATAAAATGCAGAGACTATAAGGCTCAGTAATACCACCACTTAATATTCCCAAATACATTTGCTCAGATAAAAACACATTTCTAAGTAATTAAGTAGACCCTGAAAATTCCTAAAGAATTCATTATAAAAATAGTTTACTTCCAGACATTCCTGATGTTTACCAATTCACTATAGAAACTATGAGCAAATAATTCAGATACACAAAGACTTATACTGTGTTTTAAAAGCAGGTCTATCAGTGGAAATTGCTAATATTTCCTTGCAGCTTTGGAAACCTCAACAGCAATGTCATTAGATCATTATACTCTCAGAACCAATGTGAAGTCCTTGAGAAAACATAGCTGAAGAAAAGAGACATTATTGATCAAACACTTTCTTTATGAATGGGTGCATTTGGCAACATCCTATTAACCTTCTGCCTTTGAACTGTTTATGTCATGGGTAACAGTTGTGACGTGAGCTGGGAATCTTTTTGCCCCTTTTCTAGCTCTAGTGGCCTCGTAGATAGGAGGTGCATTGCCAACCTAAAGACAGATGGGTTGAATCCATCTAGCTGCTCCATGGAAGAAAGATGGGCAGTCTCCTCCTGTGTGATTTATTCCCTTTGAAAACCTGTTAGAGGGTCAGCCTAGGAGTCAGTTTTTTCTCCATGGCTAGGAATTTTTGAGATGGATGTATCATGAAAGTTGAAAGCTGAATGAAAGAATTAGGTATCAATGTTGTTATTTTAGGGAGCTCTGTTGCCATAGTCCTTGGGAAGCTGTACTGTCAACCCAAACACTGCTGGTGGAAGGTCAGCTATGAGTCAATTCTGGTGAGGGGGGCAGGGCAGAGGAAAGAGTGATAAATTGGATATGACATCTGTATAGGAGATGGTTGAAGTTTGGAGGTTTGGTTTTAAAATCTATAGATTATCACAGTTATCTAGATTCAAATACCTCATTCATGTTGTTATTTTTGTTTACCACTGAGTCAGAACCAACTGATAGCTGACCCTTCAGGGGATTTTCAGAGACAGTAAATCCCATGGGAGGAGACTGCCTATCTTCCTCCAACTGAGCTGCTGGCGTCCTGGGTTGGCAATGCAGCTCCTCACAACTAGGCTATCAGAGCTCCTTGCCTCATTCATAGAAGTTCTCAAAGAAAAAGTGAAAATTTGCCATAATTTGAAGTACAAAGTCTATAAGAAGAGAAGCAGCCCTGAATGAATTTCTTTCGTAAAAGTCTGTACTTACTTTATAAAAGAAATTTGTCCTTCCAACTGCTCCAATTTTTCCAGTGTGGTTCATGAAACAAATGTTTCCTTCAGTTGCTCCATAAAATTCAGAAATCTTAATATCTCCAAATCTGTCTAAAAATTCTCTCCACACATCACTGCGCAAACCATTTCCAACTGCCAGACGCACCTGATGATCTTTTTCACCTTCTCTCTGTTAGGTGAAGAGATGTTACTTGTAATTGATTGAGTTCAGTTCTTGAACATAATTATTGAATTATTATTGCTACAATTATTATTATTAAATGAGAGATAGCCTAGCAGTAATTTGCATATTTATAGTAAATGACATGAAATAAATTTAAGTCAGTCTCTTAAAAGATTCAGCTTAATAACTAATATAAATAAAACTGCACCTAGCATTTAGTTTTGTTTCTGTACACATGAGAAAAGTCCTTACTAAATTCCAAATTCCTTAAAGGTTTCCCCCATTTTAAAAGGAGTGTGGAAAACACGACTTTAAAAGAAATGATAAAAGAGAGTTGGCTCCATCGTTTATCTTCTACATAACTTTGAATACAATGTTGAACTTCACTTTGACTTTCTGTTTATTTATCTGCAAGAGAAGCTACAATCTACCTCACATACATGCTTCTATACAGCAATCACCGTTCAGTGATTGTTGTTATGCGTCTTCACGTTGACTACAATTCATAGTGACCCTATGAACAACAGATCGGAACCCTGTTCTATCCTTTGCCATTCTCATCATCTCTCACACACATGAGCCCACAGCTGCAGACACTGTGTTAATCCATCTTGCTGAGGATTTCCTTTCTTCCCCCGACCCTCCACCTTTCTGAGCATGGTGGCCTTTGGAATCTTCTGTTCAGCTCTTAGTATCTTGAATTCTTGAATTCTTCCTTGTGCTTTGGCTTTTCTGCGCTCCAGTGCAATATTCACTTTCTTCTGACATCCATTTTGGTGTTCTCTTCCTCTTCTGTCTTTATAATGACGTTTGCACTCTTCCTGGATGATACATTTGACATCCTCCCACAACTCATCAGGTCTTGGCACATTAGTGTTCAAGGCCTCAAACTTGTTCCTGAGATGGTTCTGAAATTCCGGTGGGAAGAACTCAAAGCCATATTTTGGTTCCCATGGATTCGGTTTAATTTTCCTCAGCTTCAGCTTGAACTTGCATGTGAGTAGCTGGTGGTCTGTTCCACAATCGGCTCCTGGCCTTGTTTTCACAGCTGATACTGAGCTTCTCCAGCAGTTTTTCCCATAGATATAATCGATCTGATTCATATGTGTACCATCAGGTGAAATCCATGTGTATAACCTGCATTTATGTTTCTTATAAAA